TTTCCCTACCTAATTCTTCCTTCAATTCGTCAAGAGCAAGATTTTTCTGCTGTGCTCTGCTCTTCCAATAGATTCTTTCCTCTTCTAGCTTCCTCAAAAAATGTTTGACTTTCTTCTTAAGGGACTGCCGCTTAGCTTCTAGCGCAAGAATACACAATCTAGCTTCCGTTAGTTCTGCATTCATTGTCGAAACAACAGAGCCAGTAGTAACTGGCCTATCTTTGAGAAGCTTCACATGGTTGTAAAAACGATAGATGTCATCAAATTCTTTTGAGCCGCCAGGGCTCCACTTTGTTTCACTCTCTGATGCACATTCGGGATGTGGCGAAGACGGTTCAAGCTAGAAAATCAAAAGAAAATGAAACATAAGTACTAGAAGTTTATAATTCAGGTATTGAACCTTGAAATCTTAATAATTTGATAAGTCAAAGTTGTATAACACATTAGGTTGCTGAGCCGCAATTTTTTTGTTGAGGGGGCAGGCGAATATAAAGTTTTTGCATAACTGAGACATAGTTTGACAAAGATCAATCCTTTCCTTACCCAATGATGAGTTCAACGTTAATATATTCAATTTCAAGGCATGAACCATAATGATTGATTTCAAAGTCTTAAAATCTATGTAAAACCTCTAACACTTTGACAAAACAAAATTGGCTTTAAGATCTGAACCCAAAATTGAACATATCCAAATGATAGCAATGCAGTCATTCTCTCTGAAGTTCCTATAATAACCATTTCATATGCAAAATTATACATTTCAAATAAACAAATACATAGCAGAGTTCAAACTCACAGTTGCAGTCACATAACAGAGTCAAAAACGAAACTTTTACAAAAACGACATGAAAATCGAATCAGAAATACCTGAAGCTGAGGCGGAGGAGGATCAGAAGGGCCAGAATTGAACTTGAGGTCTTGATCCCTTGAAATTTCGTTAAAGCGCAATTGCCAGAGCCCCGCGGCAAGCTTCCGAGCGGAGGCCTGGACGACACCGGTGGTTTTGTCGTCGTCGAACTTCCAGTGAAGAAATGGACTCGACGGGGGTCCGAAATTCCGGCGCCGGTGCGTCCAAGCCTTCCGGCGACGGGAATGGGCACCGCCTGACTGGTTCATTCGGTGGTCATCCGAGTCTCGGTTTTTGCGTGCTTCGTTTGCTGTTGTGAGCGAGAGTGCTTCCAACTTCCAATGCTTTTATAAGGAAAGGAAGGATGGTTCATTGTCTACGTGTCTGTTTTTACTGTTTAGTCAATCATTTTACACTTTTACGTAAAGTCAAGGGCATGTTATACGTTACATTATTTTTCCAAAACCCTGAGTACACTATTATTTATACAAAAATAATGTGTATAGTTCAAATTCAAAAATCTGTCCAAATTATTTCCTTCACCAATATATTAAGATGTGGAGCTTGAATTGAACCTAGAAAACCATCACGTTTGCAGTGCTAAGTTGCTAACTAACAAAATTAAATTTCCTTTACAATCTCAAATGTAATTAGTCATTTTAATCAATGTTTAAGTAAAATTAGATTTTAAAATTGAATGATAATGTCTCCATGTAAGTTGAGTTATTTACAAATCATATATTTACCGAATATCCTTCAACATATATATATATATATTATAATAGGGTTGTTGATTGTTGCCTTTCCTGCAGTGTTCTGGGTTTAATATGGGATATTGGAGATTGCAAAACATTTCTTTTATTCAACAACTTAAGGAAGTAACCATAGAGCTTTCCATTGGATCTAATGGAATTCAGTTTGCAAAATATGTGCTCGAGCATGCTCGGAATTTGAAGAAAATGACATTTTTTTCGTTCACCTCAGCAGTCGAAAGCTGTAAGGAAGATAACCAAAAGCATGATTGCTTCTAGTGCCAAACTTGTCTTTTTGGAGGATAGAGAAAGAGGAAGATAATCATAATCTGAACAGCTCACCAGATGAAGGGTCGTCAAGGGTTGTCTCCCCAAACTTCCAGAGAGCTCAATCAGATCATATGTCATCGCTATGTTGTTCGATGTTTTGTTTGAATATAAGTGTACGTGTTATTTTTGTTTAACTCGACTGTGTACTGATTGACAATCCTAGACCATATGTGCTTTTTTTTGGAGTCAAAAGTAAACTGCGTAGAGGTTCCACCAATATTTTAAGAGCCACATAATTTGGTAGATTACATGAAGGTTATAGTTTCTTATTTTTTCAGTAGCTGCTTTTTGTCGCTAGCCTGTTTGGCTGTTTTGATTGCCACCCAACTCAGAAATTCTATCCCTGGAAATATGTTAAATCAATTCCATGGACAATCCAATATTAGTGCACATGATGGATTTTCAGGGGACGATAATTTACTTAAGAACAGACTCCCAATTCCAAAAAGTAGCTATCAATTAAAATGAAAAAAAAAAGATCCTGTTCTTTGAGAAGCAACTGCATTCTCATCTTCCAAACATCTATGTTCATTTGTAACTTATCTTTTTCTACTTATTTTGGCTATACTATTTCTTTTTTTTAAAAAAATAGAAAACCCCAGTATAGCCGAGCGGCTATACTATTTCCTTTCTCAAAAAATTAAAAACCGAGTCAAGCCGCACGGCTATACTATTTTTTTAAAATTTATTTTTTAAAAATAAGACCTCTCCCGACATAATTTCATCGGCACATGTATTTTAGTCGGGGAACACCTAATCCGGAAAATTTTTCCGGCATAGATCTATGCCAATGAAATTTCGTCGGGATAAGTGTTCATGTAATTTTTTTTTAAATTTAAAATTTTAAAATATAAAATTACTTTCTGTAATTTTTATTTTGGCCAACTTCCTTAATTTAATATATGTAATTAAGTAATATCTTATCCTTTTTGAATTACTTTAATAGTCGTATTGTACATATTCGTAGGTATTTCTAATGCTTAATACACATACTTTTTACAAATTTTTTATTAAGACACACAAAGTTCACGTATTACACAAAAAATTCTCACATATTATTGAATAAGAATAATATACGTTATAAAAATTATATTAAAATATTGTATAGTGGCCAATTAATATCTACTTTGGATTTATTTAAACTAGCAAATAAATATCTATAAAGTACAAACTAATGCAACTTGGAGGGTCCTTTTTTCTTTTATTTATTTATTAAATAGTGTAGCCCTTTTAAATATAGTGTATTTAAATAGTACAGCCGTGCGGCTATACTATGTTTGAAAATAGTATAGCCCAGCGGCTATTCTTTTTTTGGGGACATTTGGCTCCTAATCGCTGGATGGTCCTTTTTTTTTTTTTTTTAAAAAAAAAAAGAGTACAGCCGCGGCTATACTCTGTGTTTTTTTTAATTTTTTAAAAAAGTAGACTTGTATTGACATGTGGCGCCTAAACGTTGGGGTCCTACTTTGTATAGACTGGATGGATTTAATCGAATATTTTAATAGTATAGCCGAACGGCTATACAGGTTGGATTAAACCGGATTTTTTCATATAGCCGCACGGCTATACGGGTTGGATTTAATCGGATATGTTTATATTGTAGTCGTGCGGCTAGACAGGTTGAATATTTTAATAGTATAGCCGCACGGCTATACCAGTTGGATTTAGTCGGATATTTTTATAGGAGCCGTGAGGCTATACCGGTTGGATTTAATCGGATATTTTAATAGTATAGCCATGCTGCTAGACTGGTTGGATTTAAACGAATATTTTAATAGTATAGCCGGCAGGAGAGACCGGTTGGATTTAATCGGATATTTTTATATTATAGCCGCACGTCTATACTGGTTGGATTTAATCGAATATTTTAATAGTATAGCCGCACGGCTATACAGTTGGATTTAATGGAATATTTTAATAGTATAGCCGCACGGCTAAACGAGTTAAATTCTACCAATATTTTAATAGCATAGCCACTCGGCTATACCTTTTAAATATATATAAATATTTAAAAATATATTTGTATATATTATCTTTATACTATTAAATATTCAAATATATTTAAAGAGTATAGACTATACTCTTTAAATATGTATGGATATTTAAAAATAAACATTCAAATATTTTAATAGTATAAAGATAATAGGTAAATATATCCGCGCCATTTGTGGAGTCACGCATGAAACTTGTGGCGGCAAAACACGTACTCCGTCACTACGATTTATTGTCCCGGGAAAAGTGAAGTTTGTAGGTCAAGATTTTGCCGTGAAAGACTAATTTTCTTGTAGTATCTCGATTAAGATAGCAAGGAGAGAGAGGGAATTGTGTTAAATATGATGATATGGCGTTAAAGCTAAGTGGAAAAAAGGAGTGTGAGGCTATTGTTGTTGTTTAAAGAAGAATAAAAAGGTTTTATATATTGTTGTTGACCAACTACGTACGGAGAAGGTGAAGGTTTCAAAGACGAATAATAGAGAGATTGAGTAATTTTACCCTAAAGTCAAGGATTCCATTTGCATACTTATGTTCACACTCTTCCTTGTCCGATCCCAAAATATTCCATTTCAAAAGCCAATTCACACTTAAAATTCAAAATTGACGATATCCTCCCTGGAACTGGTGTGGGCTTGACCATTCTGATTACCAGACAGCCAGCCAGTCCGCTACCTCAACACACACGCCACGCCACGCCACGCCACGCCAAGCGTATTAGAATTAGACCAAACCAAATTAAACACCTTCATATGTAAATATTCAAGCAGCTAAGCTAAGCCCAGCCGAGCGCTAACTTCTTGTCGTAGACCACCTAGAAACAAAGAAAAAGGTTGAACCATGTACGGTCCTTTATATATGTACTATATTCATACATGTAATTTCCCGGAAGCGCAATAATATTATCATTTTTGTGACGGTCTCACCACGCCAACTCTACCTATCTTTTCTCTTCTCTGCAATATATAACATAAACCTCCCCATTGTCATACTCTCTCTTCTTCCCTCAGCAGCCTCAATTAGTTTCTAAATCTATATAAGCTGAATTATATCTAGTTTAATTAAGCTTAGCTAGCTAGAATGGGAAACTGTTTGAGGCGTGATTCGGCGACGGTATGGGCCGGCGACGACGACGACTGGGTCGACATTAGTTCTCAGCTGCAGCTTTGTGATGATTGTAATAATAGTAATAATAAGAAGAAGAAGAAGGCTTACAACCACTTGGTCGAAAAGGAGAGGCTTCTTGGTGAGATAATATCATCAGCTTCAACATCTTCAACTTCAACTAATGGAGATCAGGTGAAGATCAAGATTACTAAAAAGGAGCTAGATGAGTTGGTGCATGGAGGAAACCTGCAAGGTCTTTCGTCTGTCGAACAACTCTTAGATAGCCTCTTGACGACGAACGGCCCTGATGAGGATCAAAACTTCTATGAGATGGATCGTCAGGATCAGGACTTCTATGAGATGGATCATCAACGGCCCTGGAGGCCAGTCCTCCAAACTATTCCAGAGTATTAAGGACTAATTAGGACGAGGCCCATCTTTTTCATCTCTCATTATTATTACTATTCTTTTTTCTTTAGAGATTCAGATTTGTCACTCTCTGTTACGTACCATATATAATAGAGAATAGTTTTCCTTGGTGTATATGTTATTTACTCCTTTTATTAATGAATTTTTAGCTCATCTGATTTTGGACTGGTCCATATCATGCGCACATCTAATTGGGCTGCTCAGTCCAATATCATTATGGGCTTCATCCTGAATTATATGTCTACTAGACAAGGCCTACTTGGGCTAAGCCTAGCTTAGTCTTGTGTTTGATTTTAGTAATGTTCGATTGGGATAAATTAATTTTCCAAAAAAAAAAAAAAACTTTATCATTATTATTTTATTTTATTGGGGAGAGAGGAATAGAACTTAAGACCTCGGATATATAAATAAATACTTTTGACCACTTAAGATATTAACCTTTTATTTATTTTATTGATTTTGAGCTTGAACGAAGAAAGATTTATCCGAGTGTTGGAAACTTTATTCCATGTCTTTCCTTTTGTCACTACGGGGGGAAAGGGAGGTACATTGTTCATTTGGCTAGGCTTGCTAGCTAGAAGTCTATTCATAACCAGTGAAAGTTGATGTTAGCTTGATGCTTTCCACCCTTTTATTTTATTATCCTTGGTCTTTAATCATGCAATGCTTATTGTCGAAGACAAGCTGTGAATTCCCTCCTTGGAAGACATATCAACATCAATTATGCTAATCATTTTCCTATGCTTTCCCAAATAAACGAATTTTTAAAGTGTTAACGTACGTTATAACGAATCATAAAATCATGACAAAGATAGATAGATAATCAAAAGATTTGAACTTTATTCTCAAACCCAATTCATTGATTTCATGTTAAAAATATAGATTGTTTTATTAAATTCAGATCCTTTTATTTCAGAGATCCTTTTATGAATGGCCAGAAGAAGGTCAAAATTTAAAATGAAAATAGTATTTAATAACTACTCAAGTTTATTGCCTACACAATTAAGCACCAGAATTTTTTTGAGCAATGGCCGCTTTAATTATCCGAACAACTACTACCACAGTGCCTGCCCAAGCTTTGTAGAAAAGTAGGCCATTGGAGCTTTCGCACGTGTGAGAGACACGAACTAATGGAGCAGGTCATCACTGCCACAGGTGTCACGCGTGCCAAATGGCTGGTGTAGAAAGTTGGAGTTGGCCAGTTGGGGAGAAAAAGGCGATGGGTGGCGTTAATGCGCCAGTGCTCTTCTATCTCAGTTTTCTGGTCAGTGTGGGGCCTACCTACTCTCTCCCAAGCAAGACAGCTATTACTCTCACACTGCTTCTGGCCCCACCCCACTTTGAAGCTCATTCATGGCTTCTCTCTACTCTGTCTCTATCTCTCATATCTTCCTGTTTTCACAATGTCTCCTTTATTTTCTCACATCCGCCAAACCATTCTCTGAGAAATTCCAAGGCTGATGCTTGCAAGCTGAGTTTCAGTCCTTCATCTATCTCTTTCTCTCTCTGTTTTTCTTCAGTTTCCCTCCACTTGGCTGTAGTCTTTTGTGATGGTTTCGCTATTTGGGGGTAAGGAAATTGAAGGCATGAAGGAAATGGTGTCTCTGAAGCTCACCGTCCGTATATTTATGTTGTTCCTATGTGAGTATTCATATGTTTCTTGTTGATTTCTTTAGTGGGTTCTGCTTAATTTTGCATGATCTTGAGTTTTGTCTTCTGGGTCATTGTTAAAGTTGCTTTATTTTGAAGAATGTAACTGGGTTTCGAATAATTTGACCTTTGGTATTTTTGTGCAACTCAGATTCTGTGAAAGGTTCTAGATTTTGATTTCAGTTTCCAAGGATATGGTGCATTTGGCTCTCAAAATGATTGAACTCCTATTCTCCTCAATCTCCTAATATGTTGCTTGTTATAAGCCACAGCTTCACTTCCACTACTATTTAGTTCTTTAGTCACTTGTTAGAATGAACTAAAAATATCCCAGGTTTAGGGCACTGTTGGGATTTTGATTGCTGTTCGAGTTGGTATAGGTTTGCTCTTATAACTTTGTATGACATACATTAGTATGGAACTGCGGATTTAAGATTTCACCATAATCGCCATCATTGCTAGATTATGGACATATTGAGGCACATTACTTGCCTTTGGTTGAAGTATTCATTGCTAAGCAGTTCTAGGATTTATGATAGTTTTTATATATTTCCTTTTATCTCATTCTTTTTCGTTTTTGACTTCCTCTTAGTTACCTCAACAATACTAGTTGATTTAAGGCTTTAGAACTACTGATCGAAAAATTCATGAAGAAACTATCCATCTAAATGTTATTGATAGTAATCTTTGTAAATGATTTTTTTTATAGGTCTCCATATATGTTGTGGCAGCACGTTAACTTATCATAAAGATCCAGTCTTGACGATTAAACAAGATTCTATGTTACCGATGATCTCTCCTACAGGGACTCCTCAGCCCTTTCTTCCCCTTCTGGCTCCTTCACCACTGGCACCGTTCACAAATACCACTGTCCCAAAATTATCAGGTTCCTCCCTCCTTAATTTTTCTAGTTAAATTAGATTCCCCAACGCATTTTTTGGTTAAGATCTGAAGTTATATATTTTCGTGTTGATCTGTGGGTGCAGGACTCTGTACGCTAAACTTCAGTGTTGCTGAGAGTTTGATGAGTGTGACCTCAGTTGATTGTTGGTCGGTTTTTGCACCACTGCTCGCTAATGTAATTTGTTGCCCACAGTTGGAAGCCACTCTCACAATTCTCATTGGTCAATCCAGTAAAGAGACCAATGTTCTTGCTTTAAATGGGACGATTGCTAAACATTGTCTATCAGATATTGAGCAGATTTTGGTGGGCCAGGGTGCAAATGACAGTCTTGCTCAAATATGCTCGGTTCATTCATCAAATCTGACTTATGCATCTTGCCCAGTCATTGATGTTAATGAGTTTGAGGATACAGTTGATACTTCCAAGTTGCTTGCCGCTTGTGAGAAGATTGACCCTGTGAAAGAGTGCTGTGCTCAAACTTGTCAAAATGCCATATTAGAAGCCGCTACGAGGATCGCATCAAAAGCTTCTGATCTTTTGAGCACGGATGGTGCTCACGATATCTTACCTGATGGAGTAAGTAAAGTCAATGACTGCAAAAGTGTTGTCCTCCGGTGGCTGGCAAGTAAACTCAATCCTTCTCATGCAAAGGAAGTTCTAAGGGGACTATCTAATTGCAAGATTAACAAGGGTGAGTTTAGAGTTAAACATGGTGCTACACAGAACCTCCATCAAAGTTCTGTACTTTTTCTTTTATTTTTTATTTTCTCTAACCACCAAAAAAAAAAAAAAAAAAGAAGAAGAAAAATTACTAGTTATTATTTTAACAGTTTAAAACATAGGGGCCTCATATATTTTTCTAGAAGTTTGTCAGAGATTTCTCCTAAAAGTAAAGTATCGATGTATTAGTGCCAGTGGTTAAGGAATACCTGTCATTACATACATCTTCTGATAAAAACTATCTCCATCATTCTTTCTCTCTCTCTCTGTCTCTCTGTATGGGAGAGAATTTTCTTGGCATTTCCTACGGTTGGATTGCCATCTTTATGAATTTGGATCAGACATTTCGGAGATGTTAGTGGAATTTTATCTGTATACCTCATATTCGGGGCTTACACCTGCATTATTGTAGTTGATTATTCCATGATTTTTGTATGTGGAGTGTGTTCGAGAGAGTATACTAGTTTATGTTTGCTCTGTATCTTATATCAGTTTGATTTTACTTAGAGATGCCAATCTCCAATTGGAGTATCTGACCCTGTATTGTATCTGGTATTCACTTCAGTTTGTCCCCTGGTTTTCCCCAACATGAAGCATGTTGCAATGGGTTGTGGGAATGGGATAAGTAACCAGACTGCTTGTTGTACTGCCATGGAGAGCTATGTGTCCCACTTGCAAAAGCAGAGTTTCATAACCAACTTGCAAGCTTTGGATTGTGCTGCATCACTGGGCATGAAGTTAAGAAAATCAAATATTACTGAAAATGTGTACAGCCTATGTCATATAAGCCTCAAGGATTTCTCCCTCCAAGGTTAGTACGTTCCTCTAGCCCTCTTTTTAAAGCAAACTATAAGCATTGGATCATGTTACTAATACAAATTTTTTGTGATTTCTGTATGTCAAATTGATTTGGGGATTGGATTTGTACAACTCAGTTGGAAATCAAGGTAATAAACTTGGTTGGTTTGTATTGTCCAATTATATTATACAGAAAGAACTGCTTAGCATTACCAGAAAGGTTCACTGTAGCCGAAAGAAGAAATTACACCTTTTCAATTGTTAGCATCATTTTATTGTCAAAGTAACTGCTTTTGACTTTGCCAGTAATTTCATGCCTGTGCTTTTGCTCTTTTCTTGTTCTAGTCTTGTAAACTGGTCTATCTTTGTACTTTTTGCATCATAGTGTCTGGATGTCTTCTGCCGAGCTTGCCTTCCGATGCAACATTTGACAGTTCAGGGGTCAGCTTCCTTTGTGATCTGAACGATAACATTCCAGCTCCCTGGCCCACCTCTTCTCAAGGGGCAGGTTCATCATGCAGTAAAAGTATGTGTAAGCTATTAACGTTTATTCATTTGTATGGAATACCCTACCATTCCATTTCATATTAACATTTGCAAGACTTTGTTGTTAATAAAGGTTGTATGTCCTTTCTGTCATGCTCTAATGATTTTTGCCTGACTTGTTGGAATTTCAGATGTCAAGATTCCTGCACTTCCTGCAGCAGCATCTGCTGAAAGTGGTGAGTAGGTCCATTCATTTATCTTCATGGGGGATCATTTACTGCCTCAGTGCTAATTTGGTTTATTTGAGCAGTCCGCAAGTGCAGTATAGTATGTAAGGCATGCTCAGATATTTTAACCTTGTGAAAACTCTTAAGAGCAAGTTGCAAAACAGATGAATTGTGATTTTGTTTTTTCTTTTCCTCCTTTT